TGTAAAAAGATCTGTCATTTCTCTTTCTGAATGAGCTGACTCAAATAACTCTAATGCTGAAAGAGTAATTCATGTTTAAATTTCATGCTATTTTTAATATTTCAAGTCTTGCTCACCTAAAGAATGTTTTAAATCTTTCCTGAAACAAATTTTAATACTGTAATTGAATTTTTGAAGAAAAAGTGTCTACTTATATTAGTGAGATGTGTGATGCAGAATACTTTTTACTAGGTTTTGGATACAATGAATTTGACAAGATAAAAAAATTTTTTTTTTAAACATCTCTCAAATGAATTCATTTTAAGTGCTAAATTTAGTAGATTCCCTGCAGAATAAGACAATCTTTCCATTTAAAATCTTTGCCTGCTATAATACAAATGAGTGGAGAATCAGGCAGGAAGGTAATTGTTTACAGACTGTATTTCCTCAGATTGCTTCTTATTACTGAGTTGCTCTGTTAATGCTATCTTCTTGGATTTTTTTCACACCTTTGCTTGATCTTTTTAAAAACAAATTTTAATTATCATTATTTGGACACTTTGGGATTGCTTTAGTTGTGCTGATTCTGATAGTAAATGATTTAGACTTTGCAAGTCATAAGGTCCCTGTCATAACTACTTAACTCTGCAGACACAGTCAATAGGGAGATTAACAGGTATAGTCATATTCCTATCAAACCTTCTTTATGTACACTGAAATTTGAACTTCATAAAATTTTCCCATGTCACAAAATATTATTCTTCCTTTGATGTTTTCAACCACTTAAGAAGGTTAAAAACTATTTATTCTTTACCCATAGGCTAGGCAAAAAACAGGAGGCAGCCAGCTTTGTCCATAGTTTCCCCAGCCCTGTTCCAGCTGACAGGTGGTTACTGAGCATCAGTAGAGATGTTCTCTTCAACTTGCCTCTTTGAAGACCATTTCATTATCTGTCATTTACAGTTTCATATTCAAGTCTAAATAATTGCTCCCTTCCTATAAGAGTTGTTTTATATTCTAGATCCAAAAGGCACAAAGACAGCTAAGATTTACATATGGAGGTTCAACTGGCATTAGAGAAAAAGAAAAATAAATTAAAGAAAAAACTAGAGACATACAAACATGAGATCCCTACTGTCTCTTTAGGATTCTCCAAGCAGGACTCCTATCCCTCCCCTTTCAGCTGTTGTTAATGTTCATTTGAAGACTTTGGGTGACATTTCCTATTGAATTTTGTTCAAAATTATTTTTACTTTAATTTGATTTCTCTGAAGTAAACTGCTGTGGTTTTGGGGGAGGGCAATTGGTTGAAAAACCACAACATGGTTTGTCCTTTCCTGTTTTTCCCTGGAATGACCCTAAGTCCTGGGATCTCGTGTGAAAGGTTTTGTGAATACACAATCTGTATATTGTGACTCATTTTCCACTATCCCTGACAAGACAGCTAAAATCATCACCAATGGGGCTAGATAATTATGTTCCAATAAGTCCTTAATTTTCTCAAATTCCCCATGGATCAAAGATGAGGAGCCTAAAATGCATTTGTCTCAAGTTGCTCCATTAGTATTGCTATAGCATTCCAAAAGATAGGAAGCAGGGTTGTTGCTCATTTAACTTGAACCACCTCAAGGAACCAACCCAGGAATGAGAAGTCCTAACTACATCTTAGTAGGTGTGTGACTTTGGGGAGGTACTTTAATTTCTCTTAGCTGCATCTTTTCTGTAAAATGGGTTCAGAGAATATACTTGGTTGACCTTGGAATATTCCCACATGCAGAAATGCTTTGTAGAAAAGTATGATTCCAAAGGATGAAGGTGCATTCACACATATGTATTAGGCATCTTCTAAGTTTAGGCGGAAGAAATGAGTAAGTGGAGGCAGAATGAACTAATTGTCAAGTGCAAGTGCAAGCAAATCCTTAAGAGTTGGAATCCCTGGGCTTCAATGGTGTGTCATTGCCAGACAGATCTTGAAGAAGGAAATAGAACTAAGCAGAAGGAGAGACTGAACATTTCTGATACTGAGAGCAGCAATGCTCTTTCATCATTTCACATCTGATGACACTTTTTTTTTTTTAATAAAAGACCTTCCTTCTCTAGCTTGGCATATTCAATTATTCAATTTGTCTGAAACTTCCCTCTGCAGGATTTGTACTCTAAGCACCTTTTTCTGACTTTAGGCTGGGCTCAGGCTGGGGTAGCTGAAGAAGGAAATGAACCCAAATTAGAGCTGACTGCTTTAAAAATCTCTCCTTACTGTCTCACTAGATGTGCTTAGATCCAAGAAGATGTGTAATTGTTACATCTTATTACAGCTTTCCTGGATGTTTGAAGTACTACTAATCACCCATAAAACCTTCCATCTGTCTATAATATCTACATTTCCTAATGAGGAAAAGGATTTAAACTGCAGATTTTCAGCATTTTGGATATTTAAAAATTCTCAGGGCATTTGTGTGAAAATGGTATAGGATTCTATGGGGAAAGAAGAAAACTGCCTCATAGATGAACTTGCCCACCTGGGAGTTCAAGTGCAAACAGAAGTAGGATTCAGAGTCTTAACTTTTTTTTTTTTTCTGCAAGAAGCTCCAAAATTATATGCCAGAGTGTATCTAGGTTAATGCATGTATTTCGCCAAGACACCCAGAGCCCTGCTAAATTCCCTAATGTTTTTACAGTCAGTATACTTTTCAGATCTTGGGTGCTAATTTGTATCATTTGCAAAAACAACTGTGAAAGCTATTTGGTGCTTGCAATGCAATTACCACTAAAGAGGTTTTGGGGTATCTCATTAAATTGAGTCCCAGATGTTTTTGCCCTCATGATTTGTGTTGATCTCTTCTTTGTCGGTTCTAATTATCAATCAAGATGAATGAATTAGTCATCCACTCTGTGAAAAGCCTATTTATGCATATGATCAGGACCCAGGCTAAAAGAGCCTTCAGAGATGTCTGTCCAACCTTGGAATGGACCATTTCCTCTGCTTGCATGCACAGACAACTTAGCAGCATTTCTCAGTGTCTTTTTCTCTAATATACACGTTGAAGTATACATGTAATTTGTGGTAGATATGCATGTGCACATAAATAAGGATGTGGAGACATGTATTCAAACA